TAGTATTTCAATAATTTACAAAAATTACACGAAATCAATAACACTAAACTATAATTTGCTTATATCTATCTACAATAACATTTTGATTGTTTTACTGTCAAAATACAACACTACAAAATATATTTTACAGTTACGAATTAGATAAGATGGGAACTTCCCGTTTTATGATCGAAACTAAATTTTATGTGTGTATAAGCTAGTTTATTTGGAATACCAACCCAAAGAGCATCATATTGTTTTTAAACATTGTTTCTAATCACTGTTTATATATATGTATATGTATATATATATATATATATATATATATATATTAGGGTGGTCCTTAATATGGATAAAGTTTTAGCTTTAATATTAACTTTTAGATAGTGCGCAATTCAATCAAACTTCGTATGGAAATAGCATGGAAAAAATTTTGAAAATTAAAAAAAATGAAATTTGAAAATTTTTAGGTATAATATAACTGTTTGCATGAATTTATTCAAGATGAGCAACAAACAAAATTATTTTTTACAAAATCTATAATTTATATAAAATTTTATAGTTCCACAACGGCAAAGGATGAAAATAAAAAGAGAGTAGAAGAAAAGTTATATCTTCAGAAACCAAAAATTTGAAATTTTGAACCGTCCTCGCAATAATGAAAGAATAATAGATTTTGCTAATTTTTATTTTACGAATGAAGCTATAATTTTTTAAATGTGGTTAATAATAAATACATTAATATTTATTTTTCGTTCAATGTGTTTGTAATAAGTTATAGTAATCGAAAAAAAATCGAAAGTGGAAATTTTTGCATATCTTTAGAGGTTTCTGAACATTTTGGCATACTTTTAAAAAATGGATGTATGTGTGTGTATATGTGCGTGGTTGTGTTTGAATACAATTTTTCGACCACGATTTCGGATCAATCGATTTGAATTATTTTGATTCTTATTGAAGGGGAGACGTGCTGATTAGTTCTGATAAAGGCAGGCCGAGCTGTTTAAGAGATACGGGGCAAAAAGTGGGACAGAGGAAAAAGTTAAAAAAAAATATATTTGGCGGTTAAAAATGATGACATATGCAGATCAAATTATTCTATTTTTTATAGAGATTTTGAGAATTAGTTACAACTTTTTTGGGTTCTAGTTTAGTTACAACTTTTTTGGGTTCTGTACTAAGATTTTTAATTCTTAAAGTTCACTTATACGATTAAAAATTTTTTTTAAATTTTCAGAAAAAAAATTGATTCGAAATTTTCAAAAATATACAAAGTTTTATACTTTAAATAAAAATTTTCAATTCATGATTCAGTGTAAAAATTCAATTATAGTACGGGAAGTTCTTGCAATTTATCTTAAGGCACGATGCCATGCACCATTAGCTATATTAATTATATTAGTTATATTAGTTATTTAACAACTGTCGATATGGGCTTTTCATAGTAATTTTCGTTTAGCACGGTTTTTCCATATGAAGAGTGCATTTTTAGAGCTACATTGTTTTTTGTGAAACCTATATCCCGTGTTAAAAGGGGAATAGGTGTACACGACTAGTTCGTTGTACTTCAGCGAATTCAAGCGAATATTTTTTAGCGAACGCGACGATAAAAGATAATTGCGTTTGCTGCGGGATCGACCGCTGTCTTTGAGGTTTGCATGCTCAGATTAAAGGGCGAAAGGATAAAAATCAAATTCTGTGTGAATAGGATATATTTTTCCACGGCACATGTACGGTGTGGAAAAAAACGTGGTTTAAATATATAATTCCAGGCTTTTGCATGAGTAAAATATTAACAGGTGTATGAATTTTTCCATTGGTATGTTATTTAACCAAAAATAATGAAGAGTCAATCTTGTGTTGTTTTTGTTTGAGAGCGGGGCACAAAAGTCCAATTTGACTTTAAAGTCCAACTGATATTGACGCATATCAAGCAAACAAATATCTAGCTGTGTTCAGCAATAATCTCAGCTAAATCGCTGAAAACATATGCATTTTCTACTATTTTTTCAAAAATTTGTCATCTGGTACTTTTTACCTCATAGGCGGGATAAAAAAGGACAACTAGCTGGTAAAAAGATAAAACATTTTATTTATAATATTAAAAATGTTTTACGAAATAATAATTACATTGTTTACTCAATGCAACGCAGTATAAACAACGAAAATAAAAATTATAATCTAAATATATATTTGGAAACATAATAAACAAACATATTTATTATTCTTCACTGCTAAAACAATTTTTGCTTTGAAAAGTATTTCTGTTTAATTTATCTCTATTATATTTCTTCATTTCTTGCAATAAAAAAATGCTTTCGTTACAAATTTGACAATGTGGCCATTTGTCTTCTGATACCTATGTCGCCCGATTTAAGGTGGCTGGTTACACATTTTATCCCTCTACTTCAAATAGTATCGTTAAAAATGCATTACTTGTTTTATTAGATATGGTCGTGAGCCTTTTTATACGTGGACCTTTAAACTTCACATATAAGTAAAATTTAATATTAGGTTGTCAAATATCTCCCTTCCGCTTTTTTGCTTATGGTTTATAATACAAAAAGGCGGAAGGGAGATATTTGACAACCTAATATTATAACATCGTTTTCATAACTGAGACTAGTTTTTTTTATTGTTAGTGATATGTACTACAAACCAAATTATATATTTATTAAATATATAATATTTTTTCAATCATAGTAGTTTCATTATTGAATATAATAATGAAAAATAATATAAATTGATTTTTTTTTTATTTCTATAACGGATTATTATGTTTAGAATGCACTGAAAATTATCAAAAATATAATAGATTTTTAATATAAAAAAATATATTTCTGTTTAATTTCTGTGTGACGCGTTTTTTATAAACTACTAGCAAACCCAGCGAACTCTGTTTCGCCACCAGAGGGTTTCGTGAGAAAGATGAAATTTTTTTTTTGTTTTATATTTGAAAAGAAAATGAGTAGCTGTCAAACAAATGAGTAGCATGAGTATGAGTAGTAGTACATGCTAAATATCAGAAATGACGCTGTATGTGAAAAAAAGTTTTCCGCTTTTCTGTTGAAATCATTCTTCAATTTCCTTTGCTATAAACCTCACGGAGTCCGAAACCTTTCCAACGAATGCAAAATTGTCGAAATCGGTTCGTGCGTTCTGGAGTTATATCGTCAGGAAGGAAAACCCGACTTATTTTTATATAATAGATAGCAATTTATATAATTTTACAGTGACAATTGATGATTATGATTGCAATATGATTTATTTATTGTTTTAGTATTTAATAATTATTATACTAGACTGAGTAAAAATTGATTTTTCTATTTACTCTCTACACATTTTTTACAATTCTGGTATGTTTTAACATGTTATTTTTACTATTGGTTTTTACATGTAATCTTCTGCTGCTGTACAGACCGACCGATTAACAAGGGAATATTGGTAATAGTATTAAAATAGAATAATTATTGTGAAAACGATTGAATCATAATGCACAATGTCCTATCACTTATATATAATATAAGCCAACTTAAATTCGATACTTGAATTGATAATATAAAGTATTTTAGTTTCAATACTGGAAGAATATAAAAAATATCTATCTGTTGATAATATTAATAAAATGTAATGAAATACCTAAAATTTTAGCAAATATTCTAGTTTGTCCAAAAAAATGGTTTATTTGCATTATATGAGCTTTATTGATAAGAACTCGTTTTCGATTGTTAAAATCGTCAGTTTTTTGAAAAAACGACTACGAAATGATTTTACAATATAATTTTGTTGCGAATTATACATTTTATTTTTATCGAAAACTAGATGACTCGACAGACGTTGTCCTGTACTTAAGTTTACAATTCAAAAGTTTCCAATTTTCAATAATAACCTATACTGATATTTACCAATTAGTTAAAAATTATTATGTTTTCTAACACTACAGTCTATACCGAAATGCATATACATTCATTCACCCATATGGTATTTGTTACATTTAGTTTAGCGTTACTACTATCTGTTCAACAATTTACCTATTCAATAATTTGTCTACGAATTTACCTATAAACTTGTTAATCAATCTACCATTTTACCGACTTACCAATTTACTTGTCAACCTATTTACCTATCAACCCGTTTCACATCTCTGCCAATTTACCTGTCAATCTATATATCTGTCTTATTATTTGTCTATCTATCAGTTGTCCTGTCTACCATTTTACATATCCTCCCATTTACCTGACCACGAGCTATCCAACAAATTAACTTTTCACCAATTTACTTGTCTACCAATTCACCTGTCTATCAATTTTACCTGTCTACCATTTACCTATCGACCTGTTTATCAATACACCATTTTACCTGTCATCCTGTTCTAAATGTCTACCAATTAAGCTGTTTAATATTTATCTGTTAAACAATTAACCTGTTTAACAATTTGTCTACTAATTTATCTATCGACTATCTATCATTTATCAATCTATCATTTTACCTGCCTACAAATTTACCTGTCATCCCGTTCACATTGTCCACATTGTCCACCAATTAACCTGTCAACCTGTTTATTTGCCTACATATTCGTCTATCTACCAGTTCTTCTCTCTACCATTATACATATCCTCCAATTTATCTGTCCACCAGTTTACCTAAAAATTAATTATAAATAAATTCTCTAATTCACCTTATTTATTTACGCATTATAAACAAATTAAAGCTCAAATTGATTCTACGTTTTAGTTAAAAAACGTTTGTATGTGAAAAAGAAAAAGGCTGTTTTTTGGGTTTTCCCGGCAATTATTCGATTTTTTCTCGCCGTAAAAACCATCCTTGGACTTCAACGAACATTTTTAAAAAAATTATTTGGCCAAATTGGTTCAGGCGTTGTTTATGCGCTTACCAACACATTTTGCGATTCATTTTTATATATAAGATATATTTTGCATTACAATTACATGTTCAATCATATGCTTTTTGATTTACGCTAAGCATATTGGTACTGATTTCTTGATCTTTTCCATCATCAGGAAGATTCTCGTCCCGTTCGTCAGTCAGCCAGTAGTCGATCGTTTACCGAAGACGGAGTTCATTGCCTCAACAATGGTGCAGGCGGAGGAGGTCACGACGAGGCGCTCGCCCTGTCCGTCCTCAGGAGTCCCCTGCACGCCGACACACCGCAAGCCTACGCTCAGAAAGGTAAAGAGATTTTTTTATTAATTCTCATTAATTAATATTAGTCCAGTCATTTGGTCGTTTTGCCGGTACAGTACTCCGGGAATTCTGAAAATTGGTAATCTTATAGATTTCGAGGGGCTCTTTACGAAAATCAACTTTGCCACCTCAAATTTGAACGGCAAGTTGCCGCCATATTGAAAAAATGGCGTCAAAAAACAGCTTTTTTAAAATATCTCCTTTCTGGCTGATTCTGCAATAAAAGTATCTATGTACGAATTAAACTAGAGAAAATTTCCTACAATTCCTTAGAAAACCGTTTTTTTTGTAAAATTGATAGTTTGAGAGTACGGCCGCCTCAAAGTCTTTGCTGCTCTCGCCGTAGTATCAAATCTCTCCATATATGACAGCACTTTGAACTTGACCACATTCCTTCTAATAAATAAATATTTTTCAATGTCAAATTAAGCTAATAAGAACTAGAAATAAAATAATTCAAATATTTTTCTGTTTTTTTTTTTGCTGATTTTTTAACGCTTCAAGCTACTTGAAGCTATAAAGTGCTACTCAAGCTATAAGTATACTTATAGCTACTTTGCCATTGAAGTGTTAAAAAATTAGCAAAAAAACGAAAAATATTTGAATTATTTTATTTCTAGATGTTATTTGCTTAAGTTAATATTGAAAATATTAATAATTGGAGAGAATGTGGTCAAGTTCGAAGTGCTGTAATATATGGAGAGATTTGATACTACGGCGAGAGCAGCAAAGATTTTGAGGCGGCCGTACTCTCAAACTATCAATTTTACAAAAAAAACGGTTTTCTAAGGAATTGTAGGAAATTTTCTCTAGTTTAATTCGTACATAGATACTTTTATTGCAGAATCAGCCAGAAAGGAGATATTTTAAAAAAACTGTTTTTTGACGCCATTTTTTCAATATGGCGGCAACTTGCCGTTCAAATTTGAGGTGGCAAACTTGATTTTCGTAAACAGCACCTCGAAATCCATAAGATTACCAATTTTCAGAATTCCCGGAGTACTGTACCGGCAACAGCCTTTTTTTGCACCAAATGACTAGACTATATCAATGAAAACGAAATATTCAAATTAAAGATCTATTTATCTATGCTGCCTTGACTGAGCTTTTCATGAAATATGTACAGTTAAAGCCAGCAATACGTAAATATCTAAATTAAATGTTAATCGAGCACTGTGTGAGAGGTGGTATATTTCAGATGATATGAATTAAAACATTTTTATTATAATAGTTTAATGCTCATCATATTTAAATATTTTCAAAGCTATCAATTTAAAAGAATTTTATTACATTTGTCTTATTAATATGAATTATTATCGTCGATATTGTACACTTTGTTATTATTATATAAAGAATAAAATGTATCTGTCTTACAATAAGTATTAGATAGATACTATACAAGTATTTATAAATATACATACGTTCAAGATGAACCCAAAAAAGCTTTTTAACAGGTAATTATTCAGATATTAGAAAGGAAAACTAAATTTTCAAACTTTGGCTTAAAAAAACTTCCAAATTAAAAAAGGCAAGAAAATCAAAAACATATAATGAGTAAAACACTCGATTAGAGGCATATTTGTAGTAGGGAAATGATAAAAAAATTAAAAAAATGAATTAATTATAAAATAAGAGTTAAACAAACCAAAAACATTTTTGTTTTTGTCTGTACACTTTTTGCGCACAATTCTATAAATATACATAGGGTAGAGCGGATTAAAAGGTCGGCGGGTAAATAGGTCCACCATCGATATCTCAAAAACAGATGAAGTTAAACAGCTTTTAATAACAATATTTGAAGGTAGAGGGAAAAGGATGTAAAACCAGCCATTATCTTGATTCTTAGCAAGTTGCTTAGGCAATGTTCGAAAATCCATGACAAAAGTATTTTCTTTCGTTGTTAGTTTTTCTATTTTTGTTGTTAGTTTTTCTCTTTTTTAAATTAAAAATAAGACATTGGACCTGTTTGCCTCTGATCGTCCCGTTTTACCCCGCCTATGGGTTAAGAGGCCCAGGTGACAAAGTTTGAAAGTTTTAAAAACAGAAAAAAACACATTTTTTACAATGATGAATTAGCTGAGAGTTTTGCTGTGATAATTTGTTTGGTTTTCACGGAAAGGCAGTTCAAAAGGTTTTGGAGATCGAATAAAAAAAGTAAAAAAAATGCCATTTGGGGATCAAAAATGATCATTTGGCATATACACATCATTTTATCAGATATTTGATAGAAATTTTAATAATAGGTAAAAATTTTGTTTACATTTCTATGGGTCCACATGACAGTTTATTCGATAGACTGCAACGCGGCGCTTACGCGCTTCGATATTTATTCTCCCACAACAGCCACGCAGTACGATTTCTTTGTAAAAATTTTCAAAAAATTGTAAATAAATTTTATATTTTGTAGTAATCGCAAACAATCAAATTTTTCAAAAAAGTATTTATAAACAATTCCAATTTTTTTTAAAAAAATCAATTTTCAAAACATGTTAAAGCTTTTTCAAAAATTTTAATTTTTGGCCATGCACCACTAGTTTGACATTTCAATCGTGTTACCTTATATGTATATATAATAATTTTGTTTAAAATGGTATAAAATTATTATTATGATTGAATGCTTGAGTGTGTGCATAATATCAATTTCATAATCATGAAAATCAATACGCTCTTGTATTTAAAAAAAGAGCTAAATCAAAGATTGACCGTTTACAAAATATGATTATTGAGTTAAAAAGAGTTGCTATAATTAGGATTGAAAGCTTTGAATCAAGCTAGTTTATGTGTAAGATCTATAAAACTATATTTCAATAAATAGATGAAATATTTAATTATCTTGTGTCTATCTAGCCAATTATAATTTATATATATCATCACAAATGGTTTGTTTGGTCTTACATGAAATACAGCAATTAATGCAACGATTTCAAACTGTTCACATGTTCAATTTTTCCTCAAGTGTTAAAAATAAATCTAACGATTCGTAGCTTTGAATTTGAGTAAAAGAAAAAATAAATATTTTAACACATAGTATGTATATCGTAAGCGTTTTCTCGTATTTTAAAGAAATATTTAAGTGTTTTCTTTTCCTGCGCATTATTTTATTTTTCTTTATATTCAACTGCTTCCTGGTCATCATTCCTCGAAAGTAAAATGTCTTTTTATATAAAGAGAACGACAAAATGAATTTTACGACAGCTATTACTTAAATTATTTGAGCAAAACAACATGAAGACCACACAATACGTGGATGAATTTAATCAAAATAGACAGAAGGCGGGTGAGAATTTTTCTTTGGATCTGCAGTTAGGTACATTTAGAGGCTAGCAACTTTAGATACTACATTTTAATTTTCTCGATATATTTCAAACCAAATATTCAACATGTCAAAGATAAACACAATTAACATGTTTGGCCCATATTTTAAATATTTAACTTATAAAGATGCGTTTGTTGACAATCGCCATAATGGAAAGGTAGGGCGGCGGGGCATTTGAATTTAAGTAATTATAATCAATTTGAATTTAAGTAATTATACTGTCTAAGCTAAATGAACTACATAACACATAACACATATCAAACAAACAACTATCGACCTATGTTCAGTAAAATTCCCAGTTTCCGATGTCTTATGTCGATTATAGTTAAATTATATATGTTAATAGAGTATATGTTAAATTTTATCGAATAATTTCAATAATAATCAACAATTGAAAAAATAAAAGTTTCATGGTCACATTTTTTAAAAAGATAACATATATATAACCTTGATCTGGTATTTTATTAGCAGAGTTGGAATAACAATTAATTAAATTTTTTATAGTAGTTATATAAAAAAAACATCAGTTGAATTTAACTTAAAAATAACAATTTATCTCATAAAACAATTAAATAACGTATACTTAAAAATTATATTAAGATCTCGTAAACTAAACAACAATGTTCAAGACCAAAATAAAACTGATAACAAAATAAAATTCTTTTATTATAGATTTTCAAACATGGCTCCTTATATACATTGCTTGATTTAAGGCTATGGCTGGTTACATATCTTGTGCACTCTACTTTCGAATATTGTTGTTAAAATATTCCGAATTTTACTTATTTTTGAGATATTGAGGCTTGGATCTTTTTACCCGCTGATCTTTAAGCCCTTAGTTAACTAAGGTGACCATATTTTTTATGTCAAAACTAGGACGACAATTTAAGTATAACTTAAAAATAATAATGATTTATTTAAGGATACAGTAAAAATCCATTTTTTTAAAGAAATCGATTGGTTTTCATCAGAATTAGTGATTTTCGCTTTTAAGGTTTGTGAAAATTCTGATTAATTTTCTTTATGTTTAATTAAGTGAAAGTAAGCATTTGTGCCAAGCAGTCATAAAGTTCGTTTTTATAATTTTTGCTAATTTTCGTAAAATTTAAAATTTAAGTTTGAAATTATTAAGGTCAGAGGCAATTTTAAGCTATCTTTGAAATTTTGCATTCTGCTTGGATGTAATTTTAGTGTTATTTCATGTAAGCATACTTGTTGTAAATAACTTTTTTAGATATTTGAGAGGTAGCTGCAGTTTTATTCAAGTAAAACCAAAGATTTGTTTTTAAACCTATGCCTTTCTAAACAAATTATTAAATTAAAATTTTTTACTAATAAAAAAAAATATTTTGAAATTCTATATGCTATTTATGTTTAAGCAGATAAGCAGATTCTATGTTTTAACCCTTAATGATTCAATATTCTTTTGTTATAGAAATATCTAGCCATCCCATATTGGCTGCTTATTCATTTTATTAGCTTCATATAGATACATTTTTCAATTATTTTAAAATTGAATTGATTTTATCATTGATATTTATAGGTAGGTTATTTATGCAGATGATCTAAATTTCTTATACATTCTCTATTTAGTATTTTTTCCGGTTCAATTACGGAAAAATCCAGTTTCAAAATTGTTTAATGATTTTCATTTTATATGGGTCATTTATCACTTTGTATCATAATTTCTCTTAGACGTTTTACCCATAGTTTATTATTTAAGTAGCAATATTTACTGTTAACGATCACAGATTGCTTAATAATAATAACATACCATTATGATGTTTAGTCTAATATTCAATACTTTGCTCAATGTGGGATAAATATAAGCGCTATGGCATGAAGAATTCTTTTCTTGTTGATAATTCAATAATTATGTTTTTAGTCTTTAATTATTTAGATTTTACAAAAAAAATTTTTTTTTTAATTTTTCATCAAGATAAGTAATTGGTCTAATAATTGTAGTTCCACATTTTGCATACCATTTATTGTTAATTCGATAATTCTAAGATTAGACACATGATATATACTTTCTATTAATATTAAAAAGAGGAACAAAAATCATTAAAAGATCATTTTTGATTGAGATGGCACACATTTTATTGGAATTCTGAAGTATTTTTAAAAAGGTAAATAAGTACTAAAGCGTTGTCTTTTGACCATAAAAATGTCAAAAATCATGTTCAATATTAAGTGTTTCTGAATAAGTCGTCTATATATAAAGTCTTTCTCTATTTGAAATACATATACTATAATGTTTTACTAAATTAAATATCTTAGAAAATTTAAGCAAATTGAAGCAATATAAAAGTGTTGAGTAAATTTGGACCAGCTCTTCTACGAATATTCTCCCAACACTTTAATATATTATACACACAGCATAATAAATGCAAGCTTTTTATAGCCGTTTTTATTTTAACTTTTTGCTCACAAAACTTGTTTTTTGTATTTCATTTGCGAAATATAAAACGTGAACGAGGGACGACATTGTGAAATATAGAAATTGTTTGGCGATCATGGGATCAATTATTTTATTGAAAGTAATTTAATATTATGGGCTATTTTATATATTTGACTTTAAATTAAATTTTTTGTAGCTGCGTTTTATATTTAGATATTTTCTATCATATTTATTAAATATAAAATTATAGGATTTTAATACACGTTACAGTTTTCAATTGTAGGTTTAAGTTTTAGCTTTTAGATGGTACATTGTTTTTTTAAATAATAATATTTTTATTTCAATATTAAGTATCAATTTAAACACCAAAATTTTTTGGTAATTTTAGTTTTTGTTTCGACCCTTAGTAACAGGAGTAATGTAATAACTAAACAATGAGTATTAAATTTATTAACATCCAATTAGTATAATTATAACATAATGTAAAATTAGAGAGAAAAGGTATCAAATTTAAAAATAAAGTATTAAAGAATAACATAATACAATGTGTAAGTGGCAATTTCTCAAGCAAGTTACATGAACTTCTCGAAATGTATAAGAAATCGATTTAATAATTGGATATTCGATTTTTATATGATCTACCTGTCTAACGTACGAACGTAGTCTACTTGTCTAAGAATAAGTTGTCAAGTTGTTTTTTTTTGTACCTGCCTATCTCTCTATTGGTCTACCTATTCACCTATCTACGGTAGATAGCACCTTTTGCCTCGTATCTCCGAAACGGCTCAATCTACCTTTGCCTAATCAGAACGTCTGTCCATGAATAGGAATCGAATGTTTTCTGAATAATTAAATGCGGTTAATCCATCCTCTCGATATCATGTACCAAAAATTGTGTCCACACATACACACACGCACATAAACATACATCATTATTTCTTAATATGCCAAAATGTTCAGAAGAATATCTTTGAAACTCAAAGATATGTAGAACATTTCATTTGACTTTTTTAATAATAAAGCAATTAATGAAAGATACATATTACGAAAATTAAACGATGATGCGAAGTATAGAAAAAAATCGCAATATCAATTTACAGATTCTCTTAAATTAAGTAAGTTCTTAAATTCTCGTAAATTATTATCCTTTGATTAGCATTTGTTTCAACTAAGAAATTCAACATTTTACTAAATCTACTTCAACATCGTTTGAAATGTTGTAGTCTTCTGTGAATCTTGTTATTATCAAAAATTATCTCAAATTAACTAATTTTTACTAAAAGTTTTCATATATGTTTGTTTTTAATTATTTGTTTATAATTCAATTTGTTGGTAATTATTATAAATATTAATGTTTACAAAATATGAACAGAGGACATATAAAGTCAACATACGTCACTAGACATTTAAAAAAAGTATCATGATTTCAGGAAAAACAAGCTTTGATTTTTATAAATAAACTTCAAAACGTTTTTAAAAACATTTGTGCAATTTCTGACTAACATTTTTTTATACTTTTTCAATGATTTTTGTAAAATATACATCAGATGCTACACTAACTAATTGTATAGAAGTACAAATACCTGTGTATTAAGAATTCATTCTAGTCTCAAATGAATCATTAAAGTGTCAACAAGTGCTCATTATATCGTAATTGTTTTCCTTCAGTATCGATTTTATTTGTGATCAGATTGTTTTGTTTGTTCTTATGTTTGAAAAATTGATTTCCTTTCTGGAGGCTGTTACCAAATGTAATAAATAAATTAAATGTTTTGAAAATAATATTAAAGAAACATTTCGTAATAATTACGACAGATTATACGTTTATTATAAATGTTTTTTTATCAAATATAAGTTTTTAGGTATATATTCTAAATATATACTAGATAAATAAGAGATCAGAAATTGAATAACTATTATTTCTACTATTTTGTCATTTACTTTTTTTACTTCATTTTACTTGGGACGAAATTAAAAACTCGAAAAAAGAGAATATATTTGGCGATTATATATAGTATTTTACCATTTGTTTCCATACATATTCGATTTACTAGTGAAATGTTCTACATTTAGTATTAGTAAAAAACATTCGATTCGT